ATATATATATGTGTGTTTCACCGCGTATACGTTTATACGTTTATGATAAATAGCATACATAAAAATTTCTCGAAATTGTAGCAAATAAAAAGAAAAATGAACGTAACAAAATAAAAAGGCAAAAAGAAAAACAAATAGAGAAAAAGAATCGAAGTGCGGCGTGTCGGTGCATCCCTTTCGCGTCATTCGAATTTTTTCAACCGAGACACCGTTCGTTCACTTTTTAGTTTTCTATTTCATATATATGTATATATATATAGATATATATGTATAGATATATATGTATATATATATATATTTATATATGTGTGTGTATATATGTATGTATGTATATACATTCTTTAGGTTGGTGTCTGTCTTACATTAAAGATCTCTCTCAGTGTGTTCGAAACTTATCTGTTTATTTAACATTTATTTTCTTTCTCTCTCTCTCTTTCTCTTTCTCACACACTCTCTCTCACTCTCTATCTCTATCTATCTCTCTATCTCTCTATTTCTTTCTCACACCTTTTTTTATATATATATATATATCAAATTATTTATTTTTTTTCTTTTTCCTTGTACCATTCACTATGGTTTGGACTTACAGTAGTGAGACGACTGTGCCTGCCACCTTGCTGTGCTCGTACTTGGAGGATCAACTCCCCAGCAATGTTTGATCCTCAGGTCCTACGAATGACGGCACGGTGCATCATGATAATTAACATAATATGAGAAAAAAGAGAATACTAATTTCTTGATAATAGAAACATCGATTCGCGGGGGAAGTGTAATCCTCCAAGAACGACAATGACCCTATATGCAATCCCTTAGGGACTGATATAATTTTCTTTATAAATATATATATATATATATATATATATATATACACACATGTATAAGTAAATATATAAATCTAATACATAGTATCATATGCTCACACACTCGCATTTAAATAATTATATATTTATTTATACATTAAAGAGGAGGGATACATGTATACGGTTTGATTACGCTAGTATGTTACTCTTTTTTTTTTTTATTTACTTACACACATATATAACACACAGAGAGAAGGTAACAGAAGACAGAGACAAACCAAAGAGAAATTATATCTTGCAAATTTGGCCTTGCATCTAGTACCTACAAACTGTGACGACTATGATGACGACGACTCTGACGATGACTATGATTCTCTGACGACTACTTTGACGATGACTTTGACTACGACGTTGTTCTAACGCTTCGCCCTTTGAACGATATCGTGTAACAAACCGTATGCATATATGCATATGCGATAGCGTATATAAATATATATACATACATACATATACATATATATATATATATATATATATATATTGTATCTACCTCTTACCACCTTTAACATCGATTTTCATTATTATAATCAGCACCACACACACAAAATCGCTTGAAATTATTCATTCCGCTTTAACATATTCCGTCTTTTATCGCAGATAAAATCCAGTTGCGAACCTCCACCACCACTGTTGCCCTTATAACACTTGACAATCCCAAAAATTATATACAATATATATATATATATATACACATATATTTATCTCACGCCTTTAAATACATATCTTATACATGGTGTATATATATATAATATATATACAATACATACATATATATATATATATATATATATATATATTTACGCATGCTTTCTATCACCAAAAACAAAATTTCCAAGAGTCATTATCAACCATTTCCTACCTTACTCCGTCTCTATCTTTCTCTCTTTCTCTCAGTCTATATATATATATAAATATATCTATATAGATACATCTATCTATCTATCTCTTTTCACTCTCACACACACACAACCTGCCTCGCGTCAAATTAGCATCTTTTTTATCCCGTAATTCAAAACCCAGCAAGCTATAAAAAAAAAAAAAAAAAAAAAAAAAAAAAAAAAAAAAAAAAAAAAAAAAAAAAAAAAAAAAAAAAAAAAAAAAAAAAAAAAAAGAAAAAAAACACTAAGAAAAACATGGTCGTTCCCACTTCGCCGCCGTCGTCTCGTCGTCGACCTAATTTTTCGCGAGAGGAGAGAACGTTAACGTGCATCCCGTTTCTAGTGCACGACCCCCTCGACTCGTAACACAACCAGCCTCAAAATTCTCCAAGCACCCTTTTGCAATCACGGAACTATAGTTTTCTTCTATTTTTTCTTTTTTTTTTCTTTCTCTCTGTCTGTCTATCTCTCTCTCTCTCTCTCTCTGTAAAATTGATTGAAACACATGTATTGTTGTTAGTATTATTACTATTATTATTATTATTATCATTATTATTATTATTATTATTATTATTATTATTAATATTATCGCTTCTCGATCGGAACCAGCAGTGCATCATCAGACTGCATCGTGCTCCTTCGCATTCCAAAGAAAACCCTTCTTCCTTGCCCTTTTCTATTTCTTTTTCTTTTTGTTTCTCTTCTTCTCTGAAACAAGCACCCACCCCGCCCCCCCCCAATCTTCCCTTTATTGCTCGCGCGGTCATCCCCCTTCTCTCTTTTTGCCGTATATATATATATACATATATATATATATATATGTATATATATATCTCTCTCTCTCTCTCTCTCTCTATCTTGTTTTGCTTGATTCGTTAAACGAACGACGGCCGCACGTACGCCGCACGAATGCCGCACGTAAAATGGGGTTGCGGATCGCATTGGCAGCGAAGTGAGAATATTGACTCGCGTCTAAACGTTTTATTTCGCGGAAGCTGATTTTTACGTAACACATGTTCAATCGATCTATTTTTATTTGCTTTTTTTTTTTTCTCCTAACCGGAAAAAAAATATTCCAAAATTACTCTTAGCTTCGGTATTTAATTCTGTTTAATCGTAACGCGTATTATAATATTTCGTCTGTTTTTTTTATCATTGTCCTTTGTTTTGTTTTCTAACGATTGGAATTGATAAGCATATTTTTCCTTATATAATATTTCGCGTTCGAAAAGATCGAACAACGGGATAATTTTGTTTTACAAAAAAACTAATGAAAATGGAATCAGCATTCCGCGAATTTGGACGTTTAGACGAACGTGGTCCTACTTTGGAGGACCTGGATATATCTTTGATTTGTAACAGTCGTGTTGCGGTGATGAGAGGACAAGTTGTAACCGAGCAAGGACTTGGAATAGTAGGCATCAGAGTCTCCGTTGACAGGGACTCACGATTTGGATTCACCTTGACTAGAGCTGATGGATGGTAAGAACTTTTTTCATTATTATCAATATTCTTGTCCAAAAAATATGTTAATATATAAGTCTCAAAGGGAATTATAGACGGTTAATAAATCTGATGAACAATTTATTTTGAACTAGTTGTTTTTCATTATTTTCTTATTATTTTTATTATATATGGTAATTAAATTTTTCTCTTTGCGTGTAGGATAACAGATAAATCATTATTCGTTTAAAAAATATACGATGTTAAATGTATCCTGATTAAGAAAAAAAAAAACAGAAAACAAATATATATTTATCGTAAAAATAGAGAGGAGAGAGATAAAATTAATTCGTTCCTCGAATTGGTCTAGTTCTTATTTTTTTTATTTCCTCTTTTTTTTTTCTCTACATTTTTTAATTTACTTTTCTTTCTAATTTAAAAGTATCATTAACCTCTCGGTTTATTGCGACCAAAAATCAGGTCGCAAACGTTACATTTAAAAAGCATGATTTCCTCTCTCTCTCTCTCTCATTCACTCTCTCTTCATCTCGCTTTTTAACTCCTTTTATACCAAATTTTTTACCGGAAACAGTCAAATCTGTTCACTAATTAACGTAGTATATATATCTATCTATATACATATACACATCAAAGGTATACTTAATATTAGCATTTACATATGACGGACGCAACATGTATGGCGAGGGTTTTGAACGTCCTTCGTAATAGGATCAGCCTTGCATTGTAATGAAGGGAGGGAGACATGGAACACCTATATCAGACAGGTATATAGTAATCCTAGTGAGGATAATCCTGAAATACGGAGCTGGAGGAGTTGGGATGGTAGACCACATCAAAGCCTCTGCTAATGATGTCGAAAGCTTGCTAATTACTCCGTGCAAATCTATCTGATTAGCCCGACCTCCGTTTCCCTCCCCCCTCTCCCCCCCATTCCCCCTTCCCACACTCCTCCTCCTCCTCCTACAACCTCCGATTACTCTCTGCATTTTCCTGTAATGTATCAAATTGTGGATAGGAAACATTACCAAACCGGTGTCCAACAAACTCATTGACATAATATCTTAATATTTTAACACTATATTGAAATAGTGACAATCTTACTTGACACGTGTTCTCTTTCTCTCTCTCTCTCTCTCTCTCTTTGTTACATTTCGTTTCGATAAACATTATGAGATTCTATCGGATAAATAACATTATTATTATTATTATTATTATTATTATTATTATTTATTCGATATATAGAATCTCTCGTATCAATAATCAAATCGATATATTAACGAATGGAATGATTAAGGGTTGTAAAAGTATTGTATTATTATTGGTAATAAAACAAATAAATCGAATCGATTATAAAGCAGGGCTGATCCCTTCTACCGCACAATTCCATTCGCAAATTCAAATTTAAATAACTTTGTTAAATATTTATGAACGATTGTATAACATAGATTCTATTGAGATCGATCGTCAAATCATAATATACGTTATAGTCGTTCGGATTGAAAAGGTATTTGCATATTTCGATCAGGTTCGACGTTTTGGTTAATGGCGGAGGAGCCGTGACATTGCAATTTCAACGTAGCCCATTCAAACCTCTTACGAGAACTGTGTTCGTGCCCTGGAATCAGATAGTTGCTTTACCACCCGTCGTGATGACCCTTAGCAACGAAGGAGAACCGTATAAATCTAATCAGCCACCTAGTCCAGCAGTTGGTAAATATCTAACTATACATTGCGACAATGCAATTAGGTTCTACTTTTGGTTTCATTTTTATCGTGGAATTTATTTGTCCTTTTTGTTAATTTTTATTATTATTATTATCGTCTCCTATAAATTTTTATCGCGTTAAGAATTTAAAAAGATAACCAATAAATATGATAATGTTAAATTACACACACACACACACACACACACACACACACACATGTGCTGTCTTTGTTCCGTCCTTAAGTGTTATACGTTTTAGTTTCTTTTCATTTATGGCTTACAATATAATAGGCTTCCCAGGGATTTCCATGGGGCTCTTTAGCGAGCACGGACCATGCTTGGAACACGATCACGAGACTTTGCGTCCAATCATCGTTAGCACATGGATGCCAGAAAAAGTGGGTGGTTTGCCAGGGAAAAGTCTGGTATTCGCTGAGAGCCAAGTAAGCCTTATTTAATATAATGTAATTAGTTCACTTCAAGTAATGTCGCGTCGTTAAGTAAAACCAATTATTATTATTATTATTATTGTGATTATCATTATTAAAATAACAACATAGTAGAGATGTTGGTTATTTTTGTTAATTTAATGAACCAATCTTCAATTTTCACGACAGATCGTTCAAGAAAGTATCGCAATACCTGGATCTAATCTTCATTTGATGTATCAAAGTAGTCAAGCCGCTGGATACCTTTCCACCGTTAGAATGCAATTGACTGGACCATTTATTCCAAAATCATTAACGCACGTACACGTGCACGTTGAGATCGAGGGTTCGCTTCATACAAAAACTTACGAGGCCGACCCCAATTTGACTCACATTTTCGCTTGGAACAAGAGAAATGTTTATAAACAAAAAGTATATGGAGTTGCCCAAGCAAGAATTTCAATCGGTTATCAACATTCTACTTGCCTCTCGGTCATATGGGAAACTCAAACTGCAATTTTGCAAGGATTTGATGTAGACATTTCCGATATCGGTGGTTGGGGACTTGACATCCATCATCATTACAACTTCCACGAAGGAATCCTTCAAAAAGGAGATGGATCAACGTTACACTTCAAACAATATCCGCGTACTGTCAAAGTAGTAATGGGTAGTGGTCTTCAAAGAAGTTTGGTCTGTAACAATTGCGATGGTTTGGCAAAAGATGCTAGACTTTTGACACCGGTAGCTCTTACCAGTGGCCCAGATGGTAGCATTTACGTCGGTGACTTTAATCTCGTTCGTAGAATTACACCCGAAGGAAACGTTTATACCGTGTTAATTTTGAGGTAATTTAATAACGTTAAAATATCTAACGCATATAATTCTCCAATAGATTGTGTATAGATATAATATCTTAACAATTTTACATAGTGCAACTCAAGTAGCCTATCAGTACTATCTATGTGTCTCCCCTGCCGACGGACATCTGTATATCAGTGACCCTGAAAAACATCAGATATTAAAAGCACTTTCGTTGGAACAAGTTAACGATCCTAGTATCAACGTAGAAGCAGTTGTTGGTAGCGGTGAAAGATGTATTCCAGGTGACGAGGGTCATTGCGGAGACGAGGGTCCAGCTAAACGAGCCAAATTGGCTCACCCTAAAGGTAAACAATGATAATTACTGATTATTTAGAGTATTAATCGGATATGATATTATTGGGAAAATGATTGTGTCATGTTTGTTATTTATGTTATATACAGCATAAATCATTTCAATAGGTTCTATCCTTATGGGTTAACATTATCCTATTAGATTGTAATTGCTTATTAAACAGGTATCGCCATTGCTGCCGATAAAACCATGTATATAGCCGATGGCACAAACATACGTGCTGTCGATCCACATGGTATTATACACACATTGGTTGGACATCATGGTCATCACAATCATTGGTCACCAGCACCGTGCGTAGGTGCTATACCTGCGCATCAAGCTCAACTCCAATGGCCGACAGGATTGACGCTAAGTCCTCTTGACGGATCACTGCATTTCATCGACGACAGGCTTGTACTGAAACTAACCAGTGATCTAAAAGTACGCGTAGTTGCTGGTACACCTCTTCATTGCACCAGCAATGCCAATAACAATGTCAATACCAGCGAACTCACCAAATTAAATTCAACCTTAGCAACGAATTTAAAGAAATCGGATGACGTTTTGGGTTCAGTTTTAGCAGTTGGTTTTAGCCCAACCGGTGAACTTTATATAGCTGACAGCGACTCTCATCGAGTTAATTCTATTAGGATAGTAGATTCGTCCGGGAAAATGTCTCATTTTGCTGGACAACAACAGGAACGATTACGTGGTCAATGCGAATGTAATAATACGACACCCAGTACAAAAGATTTGGACTCGTGTACCTGTACAGATGATACCAGTAGTACGGAGACACTTTTGTCATCTAATGCAAAATTCAGTGCCATATCAGCCTTAGCTGTGTCTCCCGATGGTGTCGTTCACGTTGCCGATCAAGGAAGCTTACATATTCTTGCTTTACAACCATATCTTCCAAATCATGACGAAAGCGGCGAGTTCCTTATTCCTTTTCCTCCGTCTAATGAAGTTTATGTGTTCAATCGTTACGGTCAACACATATCTACGAAGGATCTAACATCCGGAAAAACTCGGTATTCGTTCCTATACAGTAAAAATACTAGTTTTGGCAAATTATCAACTGTCACTGACAGTGCAGGAAACAAAATACAATTTCTACGGGATTACAGTAGCGTCGTTAGTACTATTGAAAATACTCAAGATCATAAATCCGAATTGAAAATTTCTGCCGTTGGTTTTCTTGAAAAATTATCCGAAAGAGGTAGAGCAGAAATTGCATTAGGATATGATGGTTCTACTGGTCTACTAACGAGTCGCTCAGGGGTAATTATATATATATGTATATATATATAAATATATATTTATAGTGTTTTTTATTTCACAAAGTATAACAATACATTTTTGTTTTTCGAGTTGAACAAACCTAATTAAAACTTTTCTCTTACAGGGAGACGAAACTTATATTTACAATTACGATAGTTTGGGAAGAGTTACAGATGTCATTTTACCAACTGGAGAAAAATTGAAATTATCTTCTGATCTTTCTAACGACGAAGGTCTTTCCGTACAAGTATCAGCTCCTCTTCAAGCATTGTCAAAGGGGGACAAACAAAGATTTGTTGAATTTGAAATGAAGAATGAGAGATCTAAAATGCTTACTATCACCGACGGTAAGTCATTTGAAAATTATAAATCATTTATAATTGTATTAATTTTTTCTATATTTTTTTTTTTCTTCTAATTGCTACTATGTCATATGGTATCAATGAAATAATTGTTGCAGGTACGAAAATTATGAAAGCAACTGCATTTACGAACAGCAGTTTGGCATTGTGTCTTCCTAGTGGTGGAAGAGTATTAAGCGCGGCAACAACAAAAAATCCTCTACTCGAAGTTTCCTTACCAGTAGAAGCAGAAATGCTACCGATGTGGAGTTATCAAGTGATGTCTCTCGGTGAACTAACAAATACAATGACCACCACTTATAATCTTGTCGGGGACGTAAGCCACTTCCAACAGACACTTAACAGAGAAATTTGGGTAAACGATACTAGAGTAATAGCTGTTGAATTTGAACAAGCATTTAGACGGGAAACTTTCTACGACAAAACGAGAACACCGTTATTAACGGTGACCTTTGATCCTGCCGGATTACCATTACTTTGGCAACCGCACGAACAAGGACACAACCTTAGTATCACTTACGATAGATTTAATCGTATAGAAAGTTGGAAGTGGGGTGCTTCGGATGAATCTTATGGTTACGATCGGCACGGTCAATTGGCAGAAGTTACCAATAGTCAAGATGGTACAAAACGATACACTTATAACGACTTCAACATGCTTTCCAAGATCACTTTGCCAAGCGACAGACATTTTTCTTTAGAATACGACGATGACGGTGGTTTAAGGCACATTATTCTTCCATCGGGAACTAAACATTCTTTCTCTTGTCAAGCCTCTTTAGGTTTTCTTCGTGTAACATATACACCACCAGGAAGTACAAGAGCGTATCTTCAACATTACAGTCATGACGGTAATCTTCTACAAACTGTATTTCCTGGGGATGGTGCACGTATCGTCTACAGGTATCATACGTCCGGACAATTGGCCGAAGTTGTTCACGGTGATGGCAAAAGTGAGATAAGATACACCGAAAGTGGTTTACCATCCGAAGTCATACATTCCGAAAGAGACGTTGAATATAGATGGGATTATCAATACAGTGCTGGTCTTCTTGTCGAAGAACGCATTGATTTCGGGGCTAAAACTGGATTGAGCAATGCCAAATTTACTTTCGACTATGATTCCAATTTCAGATTGATCGCTGTACAGGGTAGAATAGGTGGTCAAACTTTACCATCTCATACCATGGCTTACAATCCGAGAACTGGCTTGTTGGAACAAATAGGACAATTTAAAATAACGAAACCGCAAATAAACGAGACCACGGTGTTCGATGGGACAGCACTTTTTTCACGAATCACCGACGACAGATTCCACGAAACACAAGTGACCGTAACTATTCACAGTTTGGAAGTGTTCAGAATGGAATTTACTCATGATTCTCGTGGACGTATTAATCAGACGAGAACTTATACTCGTAACGTTGCCGTTAACACGTACACCAACGTCAAAAATTATACGTGGGATTGCGATGGACAATTGACCGGTGTAGAAGCACAAGAACCATGGGGTTTCAAATACGATGGAAATGGAAATATGTTATCGCTTAGATATCGTGGTAATACTATACCTATGGAATATAATACCATGGATAGAATCATTAAATTCGGCGAAGGTCTATACAAATATGATAATAGAGGTCTTGTCGTTCAAAATGCCAGAGAAGAAAGATTCAATTATAATGCTAAGGGTTTATTGGTGCGTGCTACTAAACGTGGTCGATTCGACGTTCGTTATTATTACGACCATCTTGATCGTTTGGCAACGAGAAAGGATAATTATGGAAACGTTACGCAATTCTTTTATAATAATCAAAAACGTCCACACGAAGTTAGCCAGATATACAGTCCGCGTGATGGGAAATTAATGTCATTGGTTTACGACGACAGAGGCCATCTTATTTATGCACAAGTTTATCGACATAAATATTACATCGCTACTGATCAATGTGGTACACCTATAATGATTTTCAATCAGTATGGCGAAGGTATAAGAGAGATCATGAGATCCCCATACGGACACATTGTATACGATTCCAATCCTTATTTATACTTACCCGTTGACTTTTGTGGCGGTTTGTTGGATCAGGTGAATTATATTTGTACAAATATCAATTTGCGATTTCATTTTTTTTATATAAAATGTATATATATTTATTTTGTATAAATTAAATAGAAAATATTAATATGATAATATGTGTTTTTTTGATAGGTAACGTCGTTGGTTCACATGCCAAATGGAAAGGTTTATGATCCTCTGATAGGTCAATGGATGTCTCCACTTTGGGAAAATGTCGTAGACAGGATAGACACGCCAACGCATTTACATCTTTACAGATTTAACGGAAACGATCCGATCGATATCAGGCATACAGATAGACCAAATCAACCCACAGGTAAACAAAATATAAAATCAATCGTATCGTAATAAAATCGTTTTACGAACAATTTCTTTTCTTTTTTCTTAATAAATTATTAATGTACAATATTTGTTATCTTATTGAATTTTAAGTATATGCGATAAAGTAAAAAAATAAAATAAAATAAAATAATAAAAATTGTCTGGGGAGGGGGAGGGGAAGGAGGGTAAAACTTATTAAGAAGAAAAAAGAAAGGAAAAAGAAAGAAAAAATTTGTCGAGATAACTCGACGAAGTACTCGAACGTATAAATAATATAATATCTCGTTCGATCATCTTGTTTGTTTAGATCACATATCATGGTTCACACATTTGGGATACGATCTAAAGAGTTTAGCACCCCAATTATTCCCCGACGAGCTTCCTGGTAGTTTGGTGCCACCGGCCCTAGGTCCAGGTACTTCGATATTTGGCAAGAAGAAAAGAACGAGAAATCTCGGTGTCCAATCTGGCTTTTTAGCTCACATTGCTCAAAGACATTCCGGTGATGCAATGAGCCTTTCGGCACCACCCAGGTCAGCACTTAAAACGGACACCAACGAATTGTTCCCGAGTCGTTTGGGTGCTGCATCAGATCCACCGTTCGGTAAAGGAATCCTCGTATCTAGAACAGCTGACGGACAGGCCGTAGTTTCAAGTGTACCAACGGCCAATGCAATTTACGGCGACGTATTTACGTCAGTATTCAATCGTTCGTATTTCTTATCGTTCACGTTCGTCGTACACAGTGCCCAACAGGACGCATTTTATTTCGTCAAAGAAGAAACCTGGCGTGCCAGCGAGGATCGCGGCCAATTGAAACGTTTAGGCGGACAAGTAAATACGAGCTTTCACGAGGGCGAAAATGGAAGTGGCAGCAATTCCTTGATAGACGTCAAAATACACGGCACCAGTTACGTCGTCAATTTGCGATACGGTACAACAGCCGAAAAGGAAAAACAACGATTACTTCATCACGCTAAAGCTACCGCCATTCGCAAAGCTTGGCACAGAGAACGCGAAGCTTTGAAATCTAACACACCGACAACGAACGAATGGATGGTTGCTGAACAGGACGAGATATTGAAAGTTGGTTCTGCAAGCAATTACGAGGGCGAATACATACACGATGCCCAAATTTATCCTGAATTGGCCGAGGATCCTTACAATATTAGATTTGTCAAAAAAACCGTAGACACTTCTAGCAAGAAACGACGCAGAAGGAGAGGTGCGCCGTCCTGCAAGCTTTGGTGGTTGGACAAATTTTGCTAAATCGCGTTTATGATTCGACATTAAGAAAATTCAATGGCTATGGCTCTCCTTTCACTGCCCTTCTTTTTAAGTGGGTTCATTATATTGTCCAATAAGATCGATCGCTAATATACGAGTCTCTCTCTCTCTCTCTCTCTCTCCCTCTTTCTCTCTCTCTCTCTCTTTCTCTCTCTCTCTCTCTTTCTCTCTTTTACTTTCTGTTTCTCTTTTGTCCAACAAAAAAGTCTACACGACTTATCGAAACTAAGGCAAAGTGAGAAAATACTAAAAAAGAGAGAGAGAAAAAGAGAGAGAGAGAAAGAGAAAGAAAGAGAGAGAGAGAGAGAGAGAGAGAGAGAGAGAGAAATTGAGAATGAGAGAGAATGAGAGAGAAAGATAAATTAAGAATGAAGAAAATAAATTATAAAGAGAGTTACTAAATAAACGAGAAAATGACTGTGACATATTTATTATTCGCAATTTTCTCTTATTATACACACGTCGTATAAAGAATGAAAGGGAACGAGAGAAAAAGAAGAAAGAAAAATGAGTAAAGAAGAAAAAGAAGAAGAAGAAGAAGAAGATGATGATGAAAAAAAAAATAACGTACTGAACACTATCAAAAAAGTTTTATACCAAAGTCTATTTGTGTATTTCAAAGATGCCAAAAACACTAACGTTATATGATCTACCGCGATAGGGTGTAGTGTGTAAGCATTAAAACAAAAAAAAAATAAACAAAAAAAAAATAAAGGGAGAAAGAGAGAGAGAGAGAAATAAAAAAAAAAAATAACTAAACCACATATGCGTGGCGTGGATTACGAATTAATAATAATCTTTTGCCCGCGAATAAGAATACGCGACCGACCCGTGATTTGGCAGACGCGCGAAAGCCTTATAATTAATCGGTGCAAGAGCTTTCCATAAAGATGAAGATGAAGATGAAGATGAAGATAAAGATGAAAATGAAAATGAAAATGGTTAAGATGAAGATGAATATAAAGATGAGGAATCTCTTTTTCTTTCTAAATATAAGATTCGTGACATTTGTACATCCGAGTGTGTATGGAAATTTGCTGGACATAAATATTACGAATGAAATGAAAAAGAGATTAAAAAATGTAAGGGAAAGAGAAAGAAAGATAATATATACGATGAGAAAAGAATGATTTTAATTCGGATATATAGGGTATCTCAAAAGGACGAAACAAGTAAGTCAGTATATAAACAAACAAACAAACAAACAAAAATGAACGTGGGCGCAGTGTGTAAAACGTTATAAAGAAAAAAAAAAGAAAGAGAATAATGTACGTGTTACGGAAAAAAAACCAAAAAAGGGGGACACGAACACCATAGTTTTCTTCAAATTAGTGAAAACCCATGCGTGTGTGGTGGTGTGCGTGTGTATGCGTGTCTTGTTGTGTGCGCGTATGTATGTATAAATTAATAATTGGTCGTGTTAGATTCGACGCGAAAACGGAAACGGAAGAAGATATATTAAAGGAAAGAAAGAAGAAAAAAGAAAAAGAAAAAGAAAAAGAAAAAAAAAGCAACGGGGAAAAGACAAAAAAGAAATCATATGCGGAAGTAAAAAAAAAAAAAAAAAAAACACAAAAAAGATAAAATGCAAGAGGGGGCGGGCCATTCGTCGTTGAGGCGAGTCGAGTGAGAGAAACTAGTCAATATATAGCTTTACATTGACGTATAAATTTTTTCATTAGAGTAAGAACGAAAGAGAGAAAGAGAGAAAGAGAGAGAGAGAGAGAGTAAGCTAGTTATAACAAATATGCATGTGTGTGAGAGAGAGAGAGAAAGAAAGAAAGAAAGAAAAAATGCGATCCTTGCCGTACAATGTGAAAACTGTGTGTACCCACCCATACTACTTGCCCATTCGTATGCGAGCAATACTTCGTCGTCGTCATCGTACTTAGATAGAAGAAGAAGAAGATGAAAGAGAAGAAGGGGGAAATTTAAAGAAAAGTAAATTTAGAGAGGGGGAAGCAAAAATAAAAATAAAATAAAATAAAATGAGAGAAAAAACGATAAAACGTGGATTGCAAGTGGATGTTAACCGTATGTGCACACATATCTCAACAATGAATGGCCTCGGATAATTCGTTATGAAGAAAAACTCGCGCGTTATTATCGTCGTTATTTTAACATAACATTACATAGTTTTATCTTTCCTTTTTTTTTTTCTTTTTTTTTCTTTTTATTTATTATAACTATTTTATCTAATTTTTGTTTTTTCTTTCGGGTGTAATAATATAATAAAAAACGTGGGAACACAATAGTCGTTCCATGGTTAGGAAGAAAAAGAAGAAGAAGGAATCGATGTGTACGATTGATCGACTAATAAGCTCGAGTTCTACTTTGAAGCCTTAAAATGTATCGGCAAGAAGAGAGAGAAAGAGAGAGAGAGAGAGAGAGAGAGAGAGAGAGACGAACGAATTTGTATTATAAAGTGGTGCTTTCTTCTACGAGATGCGAAATATTAAAAGAGAAAAGAAAAATAAAAATAAATAAAAAGAGAGAGAGAAGAGAAGAATTTGGTGCGCAGTGTGTTGAACGATAAGAAAAAAAGATTGTATGATTGAGAGAGAGAGAGAGAGAGAGAGAGAGAGAGAGAGAGAGAGAGAGAGAGAGTATTAGAGTGAATGAAAAACATTGTATTATTATTAGGCTTAAACATATTTTTAAAACTGGATGTGTTGTATCCTAGCACTTTAGCGTCCAACTTCCGTGAAAACGAAACCTAGAAAAGGAACAAAATAAAATAAAATAAAATATAATATAAAAAAAAAGAAGGAAGAAAAGAGAGAAGAAAAAAAAAGAAAGAAGAAATAAAATTCTCATATTACTGCCATTTAGCAGGATTTAACGAACTATAACGCGACGATCGATGATAAAAAACGTGTAAATCCGGGATTCATCTACTACGGGCGGTTTACGCTATTTGTTTGTTAATCTCGTTCGCACAATATATATATATATACATTATAAAT